CACTCACTCACTCACTCACGCACACACACTCACGCATGCGCACACACACACACACTCACGCACGCGCACACGCACACACATTCACTCACTCACACACGCACACACACACACACACACTCGTGCCGCTCAGAAAACACATCATGTAAAGACTCCAAATGCATGTGGATAATTAGGCCTCTGCTGCATTAACACATTAAAGAAACATGAAGTTTCTCCGAGTTTCTGTCCACCAGCGGTGCTTTCAGCACTTTAACATAATGTGTGTGTGAATCGAGCTTGTATACGAGCGTCAGTGTGATTAGACGCTAAAATCTACAGGCTTGAGTTTGCATCTGAGCGAAGCTGAAGCTCCCATTCGTGCAGCTGCTGGTGTTTCTTCAGTTCAGATGAGGGTTAATCGAATGAGATCTGAGACTGCAGAAACTCACAAAACTTCAGCTGATTATAAGAAAAGACAAAGGTCATGCTAGTTCTACATTTTTTACTTAATTTTAATTTTAATAATATCTTCTCAAGATTATGTTTCACATAAGATGTCATTTGATTCAACAGTTTTGATTGTTTTCTTATTCAGGACATGGTGCAATTTACAAATTATTTATTTTTTTATGAAATTAAAACTTTAAATCATCAAAGATGCATTACATCGAACAAAATGACAGTAAAGACATTTATAATGTTAGAAAAGATTTCTATTTTAAATAAATGCTGTTCTTTTTTAACTTTCTTATCTGTGAATCCTGTGAAAAACATTCGTCAGCACAACTGTTTTCAACATTGCTAATAATCAGAAATGTTTCTTGAGCAAAGTTTCAATGATTTCTGAAGAATCATATGGCAGACTGGAATAATGATACTTTGATCACAGCAATCAATTGCATTTTACAATATATTCACACAGAAAAAAATATATTTTAAATATATTTCACAATTTTTTGTTCAAATAAATGCAGCCTTGGTGAGCAGAACAGTCTTATTCCAAACAATAAAAGATTTTACCAACTCCAAACTTCTGGTAAGTAGAAACTCTTGAGAAGATGCGTTTGAGATTATTTCAGTCATTTTCTCAGGTGTAACAACTGAGACGTAGGTGATTTAAGAAAAAGTCATCAGTAGCACTCATTTAATCTCATTGCTATCCAGGAAAACAAATAAAAAGTTGAATTTGATTCAACAGTTTTGATTGTTTTCTTATTCAGGACATGGTGCAATTTACATTTAAATTATTAATTTTTTTATGAAATTAAAACTTTAAATCATCAAAGATGCTTTACATCGAACAAAATGACAGTAAAGACATTTATAATGTTAGAAAAGATTTCTATTTTAAATAAATGCTGTTCTTTTTTAACTTTCTATTTATCTGTGAATCCTGTGAAAAACATTCGTCAGCACAAATGTTTTCAACATTGCTAATAATCAGAAATGTTTCTTGAGCAACGTTTCAATGATTTCTGAAGAATCACATGGCAGACTGGAGTAATGATACTTTGATCACAGCAATCAATTGCATTTTACAATATATTCACACAGAAAAAAATATATTTTAAAATATAATCATATTTCACAATTTTTTGTTCAAATAAATGCAGCCTTGGTGAGCAGAACAGTCTTATTTCGAAACAATAAAAGATTTGACCAACTCCAAACTTCTGGTAAGTAGAAACTCTTGAGAAGATGCGTTTGAGATTATTTCAGTCATTTTCTCAGGTGTAACAACTGAGACGTAGGTGATCTAAGAAAAAGTCATCAGTAGCACTCATTTAATCTCATTGCTATCCAGGAAAACAAATAAAAAGTTGACTTTTGATCATTTCTAATAATAAAGGCTGCAGTAATTCATCAAATGATGATGAAGTGATGAAGAGCAGCTGATGAATGGCTGTGTTGATCTGTGATTTATCTTAGTTTTGGTGTGTATAAATACTTCCGCTGTGTGAGAGACGAGAGCGAGAGAAACAGTCTCTCTGTGCTTCTCTTGGGATTGGGAACGTTCAGCATTATTACGCAGCATCTATGATGATGTGCCTATGTCATAAACGAGTGTGACGATTGTTTGAAAGCAGGTACATTGAACACTTCAAACACACACACACACACACACACACACACACACACAGACACACACACACAGTCACACAGTCACACACACACACACACACACACACACAGATCACATTTCCAATCAATGCACCTTATTTAAAACCCAACAAATCCATGACCTGCAATTGAACATCCCACAACCGATCTCTTAACACTTCATCAGCAGCGAGTGTTCATTAACAGCACACTGGAACAGCATTTTTACATGGCAGAAAACACCGATCTGCTCTCATACAGTATTATATGACATTAAACAGCCATCTCAGCTGCTCGTAATGCAAAAGTACAGTAAACGCTGCCCTCCGCTGCTACAGCACTGAACTACACCACTGCTATTACGCGCTGCTCTTTCCATGCACTACGATTTTGGGCTACTTGGATTTTCATAACATGACTAGTACAGAGAAAACAGACAAAATACATGTTTAAGCGTTTATTTCATTACCCTTTATCTATTTGTGCCTGTAGATTTCAATTACACTACATATCTTTAAAGGTTGTGAGTTTCTTTCTCCACTACAGCAGCACTTTATATACAGCAAACTTTACAGTTTTATTCCCATCTATATTCAGAAGACTTTTACAGAAGGCTTTGTTCAAACAATATTTGCCGGATTTTATACTTTTAAAAAAATGGTGAAAATGTAGTTTTTCTGGCTGTTGACATATGGCTAATTTAACAAAAAAAGTGCAGTAATCTCAGCTCACACCATTCCGAAGCCAAACAATAGTCTTGTGTTTAAGGCAATTTTTGCATCTCAAAATACGTCAGATTTGCCATCAATGACAATCATTCAAGAGAATCAGTGATGCTTCATGTCCCTGATATCAAACTTGAACAGAATGATATTTAAGTTGCTTCATCTCACATGATGTGCAATAAAATGCATGAGTGAAGTCAAACTGACATTTTTGTGCAATTAATCAAAGTACTTGCAAAAAATACTTGCAGAAGTAGCAATGGTTTCTTTTACAGTGTTTAGTGCTCATATGTGTGTTGTTTGCTTGTTGTCAAGTGAGATCTGTGTGTGTGTGTGTGTGTGTGTGTGTGTTTATGAGCTCCCAGAACTCGTCTGCTGGCATGAGTCATGCCTCTGGGCGGATGAGGGATGTATGGCATGCCATCTCAAGGGCACGCCAGCATGTGTCATTTACAGTCAGATGAACAGGACATTTACCTGGTTTGAAGTGCGGCAGAGAGTGAACACCTGGCCACGTCTCCTCTGACGGCGTCCCCAAAACCTGCACAAACACACAGAGAGAAAACACTCATTCCTTCACAGAGAAAACAGCTGAAGGGCAGAGCAAAGACAGAGTCTGATTGATCTCAAAGGAATATATTACTCTGCTGGACACACACTTCATTCACATTGGTTTATTACACAAAAGTGTGTGTGTGCGTAATAAACTCCTGCAGTAGTCTGAATAAGTCTGAAGTTTGTAAAGAGAAGGACTCAATTAAACACACACTGTAATTACAGCCGTCAGACTCAATGAGCCGAACCGCCGAGACGAGCCATGATTTCCTCAGAGAGCATATGTGTGTGTGTGGGTGTGTGTACCTGGTATTCCCTACATTATGAGGACCAAATGTCCCCACAAGGATAGTAATACCAGCAAATTTTCACCTTGTGGCAAAATTTTTACATTTTTTGGTCACCTTGAGGAAACAAGAATGTTATCCAGAATGAAGTTTTTTGAAAATGTTAAAATGCCTGTAGTTTTGTGTGAGAGGTAGATTTAGGGTTAGGGGACAGAAAATACAGTTTGGACAGTAGAAAAACCATTACGCCTATGGAGATTTCCCGTAAAACATGGAAAGCCAACAAGTGTGTCAGAGAAAAGCAGATCCACAAGCTGCTAGAGAAGCAGGCCCAGCTGAGAGAGCGTAGAGCCGCACTGGAAACATCCGGGGCTGGTGCTCACAAGTCTGGGGTAGGTATACAGCGCAATACTAACACTCCCACCACCTCTACTCCGTGTGTTTCTCTGCACAGGCCCGGTGCACCCAGGACGCGATCTTCCCAGGTATCCTTCCCTCCGGCACCGGGACACCACGGACCCTGGGTGCACCCGCAGTGGAAGACGTGAGCCAGGCCCCGGTCTTCGAGATCTCCACCCGGAACCGCTTCCCTCACCCCGCGAGACGGAACGCGACGCTGTGATCGTCGGAGACTCCATCGTCCGGCATGTCCGTGCTACGTTAG